GTGTGTGTGTGTGTTTGTGTAGTGCTGGGGATTGAACCCAGGGCCTGTGCATGTGAAGCAAGCACTCTACCTACTGAGCTATATCCCCAGCCCCCAACAACTTCCTTTTATTTAGAGATCCTCCCTGAACCTGCGTAGGTGGTGAGGGGTGGACCTGTTACCCCCTTCAGAAGGTACAGTAGACCATTGGCATTCAAGAATTTAAGAGCTTAGTGACCAGAAATGCTTGATGGCCAAGTCACAATTTTGTTAGCTTGTTTGGGCCAGCAGGCTGGCCTTGAACTTGTGGGTTCAAGTGATCCTCCTGCCTCAGCCTCCAGATTAACTGGGACTACAGATGTATGCCACCAGGCCCAGCTACTGGGACACAGTTTAAAAGGAATTGCAGATATTATTTTCTAGCTCAGCACAGATTTGTAACCTGTGGCAAAATGGGGAGAGGGGGGGAAGAAAAAAACAGAATGCAGCACCAATTTGCACTTCTAAAGTTGTAAAACTGGTGGTATGGACAGGAGGGAGGCCCCAGCAAGTAGGATCTGAGTCTCACCACTCTGTTTCAAAAGGACGGTCCTTGCTTTCGCATATAGAGTAACTCTTGGAAAGGAAATGAAAACCTGTTCTTGGTTACCTATAACCTGGAAATGCTAATGTTTGTCTGTAATTCATCACCTACATACTCAGCACTGTGTTTTACTGAAGAAATAATAAGTCGTTGAGATATTTTCTAATTTAAGAATTCAGATAAGTCTCGGGTTGATGAAAGGTCTCTTGTATATTTACATAGTCATAAGGTTCTCCTGAACACAGAGTGGATCCGAAAGAGGGAACCAATCTTAAAACAATCAGTAAAAGGGACATTCTAGATAAAACCACTGTCTGCCTAACTCAGGACACTTTCTTCCTATAAAACTGATTTACACAATAACATAAATCATCTGGAGCTGAGCAAGCTCACTTTTTAGCCCAGAGGGCAAATGTCCTGCCTAGTCCTTGTGAATGGAGCCAAGTTCCACGAATAAGCTTTGCACATTGTGTTGCAGGTCCCCAGCCATGACAGCTGAGCAGGTTTCCAGGGATGCCAACCAAAACTTGAGAAATAAAACATGCATTGAGTGAACCCTGTATGAGATCATTGTCCTGTACTAAACGCTTTACCTATATTACGTCAGTGAACTCTCAAAATGACAATATGAAGTAAGTTCTGCTATTAGTCCCATTCTACATATGAGAAAAGGAAGACTGAGAGATTTCGAAGATTTGGGGTAAGTTTTCCAGAGTCTTGCAGACTAGCAGTTCTGATTCCTAAATGTGACTTCTCAAACATTCAACATTATATACCACCAAGTTATGTGGTTTGATATAACTTATAAAATCAAAGTCTAAAGCATAGTATTATTAAAAAGATTTGCCTCATCTGTCAACTGAATTTACTCTAGGATAAAGACATAGACTCCAAAAGTCCCGTAAATCATCCAGATCTCGGCAAAAAAATAAAAAGAAAACCTGAAAAAATTTCTCCAGGTCTCAGTAAGTGCTCACTATTTGCATTCTGAAACCTCAGAAGTGCTTAGACTTATTATCTTCCTGACAAGGCCTTTTGTCAAGAATTTTTACTGCTACCAAGTGATATATTCATCCCTTAAGAAGGGTGCCTACAGCATCACCCCTCTCAAAAGCCCCTGTGGCCCTGAACAGGAAAGCAAGCCTGGTATTGCAAACAGGCCTGAGCAGTCATGCTGCCTGTGTTGGAGCTGGTTGGGCTCAGGACACCCCTCCCCCCACCAGGACATGGCACCTTGGCCTTTGGAAGAGCAGAAACAGGAAGGCTACTCCTTGTTTTTTGCTTTTCTTTTCTGAAGCAGTCCATAAAGGTCACTCTCTCACGGTCTTCCCTAAGGCCTTCATATGACCAGTGTCTTATCTTATACCAGAAGGAAACAATGTCACACAGGGACACCAAGAAGGATCTAAATAAATTGCCCCTAGTATATTAGCACAAGTCAACCTTTTTGCCTTCCAATGATACCTCTGCACAACTTTCTGTAAAAACATATAGATTGTTGCTTTGGGACTTCATTTCTGAAGGCTCTCTGTCATGTAAAACTCACATTAAATAAATGTGCATGTTTTTTTCTCAGCAATCTGTCTTTGTCATGAGGGTCTCAGTTGTGTACCTTATGACGAATGAGGAAAAGATATTACTTTTTCTCCCTTACAGAGCACAGCTTCATCGAGGGCTGCTTTTTGCTCTTTTATCTTGGATAAGGATAAGATAAAGACAATCAGAGGTTGTTTTTAAAATTATTATTGCCCTTCATATTTTGGGATGCCTTCATTTGAACTTCCAACTTACTTCCTTTCTAAGTAAAAATGAATCTATGGTCATTTTCATCTTACCTATACATAATAATAATGTTATTGTTATTTTAATGATGTAAATATCCTAGAAGGCATGCTTCTCATCTGGGCAGGGCCTGTAGAGCAGCGGATAGTTCAGGAAGAGAGAAAACACAGTTGGATGGTTTGGAAGGTAGGGGAAATGTCCTGGCAGGCTCCCGCAGTCAAAAATCAAATGTGGGAAAAGAGGGGAATCTGGGCTAGAGGAATACTGTACAGGAATCTTTAATCTTTTTGCGTCATGATCTCTTTTAAAATCTGGTGGCAGCCAATAACTCCAAAATAAACATATAAACAAAAACCACCCCATTTCAGTCCATCTTCATCTCTTGTGCATTCTATAATTGCAAATTTGCCCCCTTGCTAACATTGATTTGTAACCCCCATAAGTCAATGCTCACAAAGCAGTAAAAACTTTGAGTCTCCAGATGCATGTTTCCAACTAAAATCAAAGAGGGTGATGCTCAGCCTTTTTTGTTTTAGCTCTGCTCTTATAAATGAATGTCTATTTTTGATGTCTTTTTAACTGCCTCACTTCTGCATTTATTTGTGTTTTGTTGGTGCTGTTTGAAATGACCCCCGAGGTATAATATGGAAGCACCTGTTCACCATTCCTAAGCACAGTAAGATTGCGTGGTGCCTCATGGAAAAAGGTACGTGTTCCTTGAGCTTTACTTGGGCATGAGTTTTTGTGCAGTTGGCTGAGTTCCATGACACAAATGCTGCAATAGAAGTGCTCTTTTACATAAAGAAATGTTGGATATCGGGACTGGAATTGTGGCTCAGTGGTAGAGTGCTTGCCTAGCATGTGGGAGGCTCTGGGTTTGATCCTCAGTACCACATAAAAATAAATGGAGATATTATGTCCAACTACAATTAAAAAATAAATATTAAAAAAAGAAATGCTGGATATAATTAATTATTTACCATAAGTATATAATAAAGAAGATAGCATTAAACCAAAACATAGAAAATGAGATTACGCATTGACCTGTTGACTCTGACCAGTGTCTCTCAGAAACCTCACCCTCTATTTTTCCAAGGAGCAATGGGGTCAGTGTTTGCTGATTCAGTGACTGCAGTAACTTACAGACTAGGACTTTCAGAAATACTGAGAATTGGCTGCATTTAATATGAACAAAAGTTTAAGTGTAAGATCAGGAGACTCTGAGAACCCCTCCATGTTTCAAAAATATGAAATAGAAAGTTCCAGAAATAAACAATTCACAAGTTTTCAATTGTGCACCATTATAAATAGATTGCCATCCTTCTTGGTCCTGCACAGGATATGACTCAGATTATGTAAGTCCTTTCTAGGGGTCCACATAATCCCTGTTACATAATATTCTTTCATGAAGTAGCAAGGTTGAAAAGTAGAACATAAAAATGGATCAGAATAGCAATGTGGGTACAAAAATTATTATTAACAAAAATCTCTTGATTTCCTGCTATGTGCAAGTAAGTCTTTTATTCTCAGGAAAAGTAAGGATAAATATATACATACGTAAATATATCTATATTAATTTAGGGAGAATATTCAACAGTATTATGTGTGGTTGAATTGCTTATTCTTTATTAAAATTAATATTTTATGTGAAAAATAAGGAAATTCAGAGATGTGACCTGTATCTTTCTCTATCAAGGTAACTATTTTGGGAGTTAATACATAGTCTTCTCTGACCATTGGGGGATGTATACAAAAACCCCCCAATGAATGCCTGAAACTGTAAATATTACCACAACCCATACATCATGCTTTTTCCTATACATACAAAACTATGATTAAGTTTAATTTATTTATTAGACACATTTAGAGATTTAAACCTGTTTTAGTCAGCTTTTTCATTGCTGTGACTAAAAGATCTAGTCACTGTAGAGGAGGAAAAGTTTTACTAGGGGCTCACAGTTTCAGAAGTCTCAGTCCATGGACAGCAGGCTCCATTCCTCAGGATTCAAGGTGAAGCTGAACATCATGGTGGAAGAGCGTGGCAGAGGGAAGCAGCTCACATGATGATGAGAAAGCAGAGCCAGAGCTCCACTTGCCGGACACAAATATATACCCCAAAGCCAGAACCCCAATGCTCACCTCCTCCAGCCACACCCTACCTGCTTTCAACTACCACCCAATTAATCCCATTAGGTGATTAATTCACTAATTGGTTAAGGCTCTCATAACCCAACCATTTCTCCTCTGAACCTTCTTGCATTTTCTCACACATGAGCTTTTGGGGGATACCTCATATCCAAACTATAACAAACCCATAATTAATAATAAAATTGAGTAATTATGACAATATACTTTAAAAAATGATTACTCCTGTCTTTTCACTTAAAGGAAGTATTTTACAGCTTCAAGAGAAGCCTCATGACACTGGTCTGGGCATATTCAAATTACAAACATCCCACTACTCATGCTTTGGAGCTATTAGGTTAAAATAAAGGTTACTTGAACACAAATCCTGATTCAATTACTGTGATACCATGACAATTGATCTGATAACTGAGGTAACTACCAAATACCTAATGTGCAAGTAGAACATACTGTATGGAAACATTGGACCAAGGGATGATTCACATCCTGAGCAGAACCAAGAGGGATGGCCTACTGCTTAGAATGGTGCACAATTTAACACTTATGAATTGTTCATTTCTGAATACTCCATTTCATGTTTTTTGACCATGGTTAACTAAAAGTAACTGAAATCATGGAAAGCTAAACCATAAATCAGGGGGATTACTGTATATGCAATGAATATCAACCAGGCAGCCGTGGATATCCTGGCTAACCATTAGCTGGTAGGGCAGAATTGTTAAAAAAAAAAAAAAAAAAAACCATACTTTACAGCTGGATATTTATGAACCCTCTAACCCCTTACACACACACAACCAGACAAAGTATACAACTCATGTTTCAGAGAGCAGAGTAGAACAATAGGAAAGAGTTAGATTTTTTTCCTCCAGATTTTATTTTATCTCTGTTATCCTCCTCTGCAGGCTGATGATAGTCTCAAGGACATGTGTTTTATCTCTTTCAAGGTGGATTTTATTTTCAATTGTCATTATCTTGTATCTTAAGTGGTCTTTCTGAGAATCAGAATCATATAGATTCTATGAGGTTCTTTTTTTTTTTTTTTCAAATTTCCTAATACCTGATTTCCCATATAGATTCAAACTCTCTACCATACTACCAGACCGCCCAGACAGCGGGCTGAATGAAGGGAACTAATGCCATCCACGGCAGCTTTCTCTGCAGGGTAGGAACAACCGCTCTCCCCCACACCCACACATCATTGGTGTGAATTTTCTGCTCACCTTAGCTCTCCCAGAACTGAAATGCGGAGGCAAAGATCTTGAGGCTGCTATTATCTTGGCTCTTGACTGGGCCAAATTACCTGAGCAAAAAAAAAAGATAAAAAACTTAAATTGAAGGAAAAGTTAAGGAAACTCGATCATGAGTGAATTCTCCCTTTGTGTTTTTATCTTTTTTAAAAAAACTTTTCAAATGATCTATTTGAAAAAATTTGAATTTTGTAACATCAATTATATCAATTATAATAATTACCTTTAGACTGTAAGTAATTTTAAATAATTTATAAAATAAATTGCATTTACATTAGTTTTACAAGCAACAAAAAGTATCTAATTTACAAACATAGAAGGAAATTACTTCAACAAATAAAGAATATGTATGAAAAGCCTACACCTAATATCATGCTCAACAGTGAAAAAGTGCCAGCTTTTCTTCTAAGATCAGGAAGGTCTAAAGTAGTACACTCACTATTTCTATTTAACAAAATACTAGAAGTCCTCACTAGAAGAATTAGACAAGAAAATCACCTAAATCAGAAAATAAGTAAAATTATTCAAGATTATGTCATCATAGATAGCATAATCTTATGGAAACCCTGAAGAGTCCACATTAAGAAGATAATGTGGCTGGGGATATGGCTCAGGCGGTATAGCATATGGCCTGGCATGCGCAGGGTGCTGGGTTCAGTCCTCAACACCACATAAAAATAAAATAAAGATATTAAAAAAAAAAACAGAGACAGAAACACCTTTAAAAAAAAAGAAGATAATGTCAGCACTAATAAATGAATTTAACAAATATGCTTTATAGAAAATCAGCCTACAAAAATCAGTCATATTGCTCTACAATAACAATAGACTAAATGAAAAAAATTAAGAAAATAATTAAATTTACAATAACATAAAAAAGAATATAATACTTAAGCATAAATTTAATCAAACTGCAAATTCAATATGATCCCTATCAAAACTTCAATGATATTTTTGCAGAAATAGAGAAAAAAATTCCCCCAATTTTTTTGGAACCACAAAGGGTCTCAAAAGCTGAAATGATCTTGAGAAAGATAAAAACTGGAGGCTTCACATTTCCTGACTTCAAAACACATTACAAAGCAATAGTAATCAACACAGTATGGTACTAGCATAAAGACAGACACATAGACCAATGAAACAGAGTGCCCAGAAATAAACTCACATATCTATGACCACATATCTATGATCCTTGACAAGGGTGCTGAGACTGTAGTCTGCATGCTAAAGAATGAAAATGAATTCTTATATTATACACAGAAATAAATTAAAAATGAATTAAAGACTTAAGCATGAGGCTGGACACAATAAAACTCCTAGAAGAAAATAAAGAAGAGAAGCCTCATGACACTGGTCTTGGCGATGAGATTTTGGGTATGACACTAACAGCGCAAGCAACAATAGAAGAGTTAGGCTACATGAAAGCAATGCTTTTGTGCAGCCAAAGCAAAATCTACAGGGTGGGAGAAAACATTTGCAAGCCACATATCAGATTGGGGTAAATATTCAAAAGACATAGGCACACCTACAATTCAATAGCAAAAAAAAAAAAAAAGGTAACCCAATCAAAATATGGGCAAAGGAATTGCATAGACATATCTCCACAGAAAGCATATATGGCCTCAAAGGTATGTGAAAAGATGTTCAATATCCTAATACTAGGGAAATTAAAATCAATTCACAATGAAATATTACATTGTGGCTGTTAAGATAGCCAGTTATAAAAATAAAGCTTAAAAAATAGAAAATTATAAATGTTGAAGGTGTGGGGAAAAAAATGAACCTTTTACACTATTGGTTTAGAAAACATACTATGGCAGTTTTTCAAAATTTAATAAGAGATCTACCAAATCATCCAGAAATCTCACTTGAATATTTATCTCAAATCATTGAGAACAGGATCTTGAAGAGAGATTCACACTTCATATGCATTGCACCATTATTCACTATTATGCAGAGGTGGAAACAAATAAGTGTTCCTTATCAGATGAATGAATGGATAGAGGAAAATGTGGCATATACATACAATGGAATATTATTCAGTCTTAAAAAAGAAGGAAATACTGTCATCTGTTAAACATGGATAAATCTGAAAGCTTTAGATTTATTTCAGTGAAATAAACCCATCACAGAAGAACAAATATTTCATGACTCCACTCAGATGAGGTATATGAGGTCGTCAAACTCGCAAAAACTGAGAATAGAATGCTGACTGCCAGGGGCTAAGGCGAGAGGAAATGGGAATTGATGTGTGCTGAGTACAGAGTACATTCATGCAGGCTTTAGAGACCTGCTTACAACAACACACATGTGGTTAAGGATATTGCACACTCAATAATACGCTAGGAAGGGAGATTTCATGCTGTGTGATTTTTACTACCAAAAAAAAAAAAAACAGAGCCTGGCTACTCATTGAATGATATGAATATGAATATGGAGAAAAAAGATGCTGGTGGGAATTTTCCCATTAAGATGCTGACAGGGAAGGCCACTGTGAAGATTTGAGACAGGGGCACTGATTCTCAGATGAAGTAGTAAGGGTCCTGTAGGGGAGGAAAAAAGACTTTTCTCCTCAGCCATCCTAGTTTCATGGCTGAGGCCCTCAGAACAAAAGAAAAACATGCAAATGTAATTAACATAAGTTTTATAAAACACTGGGAGACTTAATAAAGAAGTGAAATAGAAAGTGTGAAGAAATATGATAGAAAAAAGAATATGCTCTAATAGTGTAGGTCAAACATACCTAATCTGAAATTCCAAAATTCATATGCTCCTAAACCTGAAATTTTTGAGGCTGATCTGATGCTACAAGTTGAGAATCTGCCCTCTTAAACTTTGTTCCATGCACAAAGTTGTTGTTGAGATTATTATTATTGTTACTGATGCCAGGGATTGAGACCAGGGCCTGGCAAATGTTAAGCATGGGTTCTACCACTGAGTCCCATGCACAAAATTATTTAAATTTATTGTGTAAAAAAGAGGGTGGGGTTGGAATTCAAAAGGTAGAGTGTTTGCCTAGCATGTGCAAGACTCTGGATTCAATCCCTTGCACCATACACTCACACACGCACACATACACACACACACACACACACACACATATACACACATATACACACACAAATATATGTACATATGTAAAATATTCATCATAAACATATAAACATATTCTACATTAGATGTTTATATAATGTAGAATATGTTTATATATATATATGAATACATATATATCACTATATTTATATCATTCATATTAATACCTAGATATATATCAGTATAAATTTATTATTATATAAGTATATGTGACATACAAATATACATACATAATATAAAATTACCTCCACACCATTTGAATGAGGTTTTGTGAAACATGAATGAATTTTGTCTTTAGACTTGGGTCCCATGCCCAAGGTATCTCATTATGCATATGCAAATATTCACAAGTTAAAAAAATAAACATTCAAAATCTTAAACATGTCTGGTCCCAAGCATTTTGGATAAGGGATATTCAATCTATATACAACTATTTGTTGTGATCAATTGACATAGATCTCAAAGCAAGAATAGAAAGCAAGAGAAGGCCAGAGAATCTCACCGAGTAGTCAAATAAAAAAGAAGAGAGAGAGAGAGAGAGAGAGAGAGAGAGAGAGAGAAATAAATGAAGGGTGCTGCTGCTTTTACCTTTGAAGGCTCAGAATGTCCTCTCAGACTCTCTTCTCCCCTCCTGGCTACCACCTACCCTTTATCAGACCAAGTGTGTGAAGAGATTTGTTTGCATTTTTACCCACAGTGTCATTTGATTCTGAAGCAAAATAAAAAGTTGTCAAAGAAAGGAAATGCTGCAATTTGTGCATATGCAAGATGCTCGAGATTTCAAAGTTTTAGCGAGTCTAGCACAAAGATGTCCAAATGTTTTCTCTGGCGATATCTTCAGAGGCTAAACTGTGATTAATAGCCCAGAAAGAACCCTTTGAAGCGGGATTGGTGACATCAAAGTCGTAATCCAGGGGTGGCAGGAGCTCTATAATGAGTGGGAAGCATTTTAACACATTTCAAAGGATTTACAGCATGAATAAACAATAGACCTCAGCAGATGCGCCACACACACCTTCCAGAAACATAACCTATAAGAAGTTTCCATTTTAATTTAAATGTAAATACAGTGTTCACACTCCTTTCAAATGTTAAGCATCCTCCCTGCTTCACCCCCAGATAGCCTCTTCCTGGCTAAGCACTCCTCCTGGCCCAGAACCCCCTCCTCTTCCAATTCTCAGAAATTGTGACTGTATCTGTGCAAAGAGAACACGGAAGTCAGAGGCCTCTGGTGGAATTTTCATCCTATGCAAGGAACTGGGTTAAGAGAGAATCTGAAAGGGAGTTTACAGGCAATCCCACATGATTTCCCTGCTTCCATTTTAAAGGGAAAGAGATAGGGGATCTGAAGACAGAGCTGGTGCTTCTAAAAGATGGCAATTTCCCACCTTCTTCCTAAGATTTTCATCTCTGGGGAAACACTTGGCACCGTCATTTCATCTTTAGTTGTTTCTTAAAAATTGCCCCCAAATGTTGGACTGTTGTTTTAAATAATCTAGGGTTGACTTTAGTCTCCCTCTGCTGCCCCCTCTGGGCTGACCTGACTCGGTGCAGGGCACTGGTGAGTAGATAGACATTCATTTGGGAAATAGTCCTATTCTCTCTCCAAACAAGAAATACTAATTTATGATTGCACAGTAATGCTGAAATGTCAAAAAAAAAAGATGTTTCAAATTGCTACAAATACAAGGAGTTGTAAAAAAATTCAAATCTTCAGGTCATGTTATAAGATTAAGTCATCTAAGTAGACTGGAGGATTAAAACTTTTACCTCACAGTTAGCTTAGATGCCAAGAATGGACATCATATCTTATTGTCCACATTATAATAACTATAATACTACTCCTGCCTCCATTAGCATCATTAGCATGAACTTTTTTTGGGGGGGGGAACGGGGGGGGGAGTCGTGGGGTGGGGGAGAGTGTCCTGCCCAGGCAAATAATGATTATTTACTTCCTGAA